CAAAAAATGGATGACCATCTCAAGTCCGCATTGCTTCCTTTCTCTTTTTTTTCTATAGAGACTTCATAGAAAATGACAAATTTTTTTTTAAATTCAATATTTATTTATAATAGAAACATCCTTTATAAACTGAACAAATTAGAAGTAAAATATTTCCAAATAAATTATGAAAAATGTAGTGTAAAACGGCCAACTCAATATTTCATCCAGAAAAATACTACGCAATCCTGAAGATTTTGCTCATAGAAGGAACAAAGGTGTAGACATATACAGTAGCGTACGCAGGAATTTGGTATGTGGGGGGGGGGGGGGGGGATAATTAAAAATTTTTAAATTAAAATTATTTTTATTTAAAAATATCAAGCATAAATTTATTAGTACTAATTACTATTTCTAATATACAAATTTAAATTAATATGAATTATAAAAAATTAAATATATAAATCGGTATATAAAAATAAATTTGATTTAAAAATTATTAAACGGATATAACCGGCGGCATATAAATACTTTAAATAAATCTGAATTATAAAATATTAAATGGATATAACCAGGATATGATGACTATAAAATAAATAATCCATAATAGGAATTTTAATTTTTTTGAGCCTTTAAAATTTATATATAAAGTATAAAAAATCTAAATGTTGGAAATATGAATAATTATATTTTTTATGTAAAAGAAAAATATACAAGACATTAAAAAATGATAGCACAAAAAATATTATAGAAACATTATATTTTTATAATGTAAAATCCAATCTTCGTTGGGAGTGAGCTAATTTTTCAATTATCTCATCCGTGTTTGGCGTCAAATGCCTATGAATATTCAAAAGGGCCAGACCATTCAACCTACTTTCAGAAGTTGTACTTCTTAGGTACGTTTTTAATCTTCTTAAAGAAGAGAATGTTCTCTCATTAGTTGCAGTACTAATGGGAAGAGTTGCTAATATATATAATAATTTCAATATATTGGGAAAATAATCTAAAAGATGTTTGAAATGATGCAAAGCATCCATAGCATTTTTTGGGACTATATCAACCATAGTTAATCTTTTATACCATAGTTGGCATCAGCTAATAACGCATCATGAGATACATTAATGTCTTCATAATAAAAATCTTTCAAATATTTTATTTTTTTTTTTATCACCATCTGAAAAAGGTTCAGAGGGCTTTTGCGGAAGTAATATCTGCAGATTGATAAGTGCTTCTTGATGATTTAAAAACCTTTCATTTACTTGGGTTATAAATGAATCCAAAGGAGGTATAAAGACATTTATTTTATAATATTCTTATATTGACCCTATATTAATATTTGGACGATAAGTTTGCCTTACTGCAAGTCGAGGGAGACAAATATTGACTCGTATAGCTCTGCTTTTGATTCAACATTAACATATAAAATATGAAATTCCTCATCAGCATTAGCTCTAATTTCTTTGAGTTCTAATAAAATTGTCTCTGCTATTCTCATCATCTCAATCAAATCAATATCAGGTTTTTGAAAAGTATTACATAAAATAGTTGTATAATTAAATAATTTATTAATACAAATGCGTAAAAAATCTGAAGAAATATATCTTTCAGACCATTGTGATATTTCTGTAAGAGCATTAATAATCGGCTCTTCTAACTCGATAAAAGCTGTTACTGCTTGCTGTCGAAGACTCCATCTTGTTGGACAAGCTTTTTGCATTTTTTTTTCCTTGTTGGGCATCAGATATAATTCTGTTCAAAATATTTTGACGCTTGGGGTATCTAAACGTCTCATAGATGGTAGATATTTTACCTGATATAAATATAAAAAATTTAATTTTAATAATTAAAAACCTAAAGAATTTGATATCAATGGTAAAGAACATGAATCCGATATTGCTAAGTTGAGCGAATGGGCAGCACAGTGGACATATGTAGCTCTTGGGCATATTTTTTAATAAATGCCTGAAGCCCATTGAATTGTCCACTCATTGCACGTGCTCCATCATACCCTTGCCCACGTAACATATTTATATTTAGCTATATATTTTAAAATAATTATATAATAAGATTAATTAATACTTTTAATTTTTTAAGATTCACAAATATTACATCAGTTAAAGCAGACCCAGTCATGCTTTGAAACAGGAATAAATTGGAGAAACATTTCCTTGATAATGTTTTTATGAGTATCTACATATTGCGCACACAACGACTTCTGCTCAATGCCAGCAATGTCCGTGGTCTCATCTGCCAAAATTGAGAAGCATGGGGCAGAATTGATTTCAACAATCAATTTTTCTAAAATGATATTGTTGCAAATATCAATTATCTCATTTTGTATCCTAGGGCTGAGATAAGTAGCATTTTTATTGGTACTAATGAGGCTCTCCATTAATACAGGATCTCCTAATGCTTAAAATTTTAAAAGTCCACGAAAATTACCTTCGTTATCATTATTATTAAAATTTAAGCTTCCTGAATCCTTGTGGCCACGAAATGCTGACTATCTATTATTTTTTCAACAATTCTTTCATTATTAGCTATTATGGGAGGGGTTTTAATTGCTAAAAATATTTTTAAATTAAAATATTATTTAATTATTATACTATACTTTTTTGCTTTTTAGCATGATTTTCACCTTCAGCATTTTTAAAAAAATTCTAATATCCATGACTAGAAATTTGAAAATTATAATACCGGGAAATTTAAAAATAATAGATAAATATTCCGCCACAAGGAAAACATGAAAATGAAATTAATTGATAAAGTAAATTGGTAAATGAAAAAGGTAATAATATAAAAATTTAAAAAGAAGATATGAATAAATATAATAAAATATAGAAAATAATATTTTTGAAAAATATGTCCGGCATCTGCATTTTGGCTTGGGGGGGGGTTACCTGCTTCCCCCCCCCCCGCTGTGTACGCCAATGGACATATATTAACGAAATCTCGAGGCTTGGCCAATATTTTCCTGACTAAAATATTTAGTTAGCCGTTCTAAAAATCGGCTTAAAACGAGCCGTTTAACAACACCAGTAAAATGTATTAAAAACTATGATAAATAGCAAACTGAACTAGATGAAGAAGATAGATGTGTTTTTTTTTTTTTTAAAAAAAAAATAATTTATATGCAGCTCTATATAATAAATGATCATACAACAACAAACATGGCATAAAAAAAATTTTTTAAATATAATTTGATGTGTGTTTTTTTTGAAAAATATAACTTTTTACTATAAAAAAATTTAACTCTTTTATAAAATAAAAATAATTTACTATTTTATATTTATGAATACAGTATTATAGCATTACATTTTGACCTGAAAATTAATTAAAAATAATATTTATTATGTTATTATATTTTATTTTTATATTTTTTAAAAAAAATTGATTAATCGCTAAAAAAAATATAAGAAGGGATTTTAACAAAGAAGCAGGCCCATGCGAACAGAGTGAGCAAGAAAGAAAGAAAGACCATCCGCCAAATAAAAATAATTTTAGGGACAGCCAAATTGTATTGGGCGTTAGTGTAATATTATATAATTAGAATTAATACCTCATCTCGGTGTTGTGGAGCGCGTTAAATACACAATTAAAACATTGTAAAAACTTCTTCCATCAATGTTTTTTTTAATTTTGATTTGAAGTTTTTAATAGATTTAGGGAGTGAGGGTGAGGTTTAAATGTATGGCTGCCACCCCTTTTAATACACTGATGATTATCACACCTAATATTTTAGTATCATAATTCTTGACATCCCAAATATTGTTTGTATTGCTATTTTAAAATGCCTTTAAAGTATACTATAATTGACCAAAAACGTTACCACCGTAAAGTGAACATTTAATGACAGTACTAGAGTTTGAGTAATGCAGGGGGGGGGGGGAAATCAGACAGCGCACTTTTAAGCAAAAAGGTTAAACAAAAAAAAATCCATTTAGTTAAAATTAGTGTTGTTAAACTACCTAACACTTTAGTCAACTATAAAACAGCGTGGCCATATTGTTATCCAAAAAATATTCGAATCAATCTTCAAGTCGAGACTCACAACTTAAAAGCTTAATTCGATTTTTTAGGTTTAAAGTTTGACTATGACATAATTGAGATGGTCAAAGCTATGTAATTTAACCAGAGTTGTTAAAGGGTCTAGATACTTAAAAATGTGGTATCTGTATCTAGATAGATTTTTGATTAAATAATCTGTATCTATTTATTATTTTAGACGTTGTATCTATATCTAGATCCATTTAAAAAGTATCTTTTAACAACTCTGAATTTAACAAAACTAGTTAAAATAGAGAATTTTAATGAATATTTCTTCACGAATCCCTTTTTTATAAAAAAAATAAATGGCCCCTTTGTTTAGTTACTCCGTGAAAGCACGGGTAAATTCTTGCAAAGAAGAATTGTTATTTGGAAGAGCAATATTTTAAAAATTAGGGAATTCAATTTAGGGAAAGGATATTTGATCCGTAGCTAACTTTTTCTCTTAAATATGTTTATAAAATTTAAAATGTAAGAAAGCAAAATTTAAAAAATAAATTATTGGGACCTCCCCCCCCCACCCATTTATATCCTAACCCTCTACCACTTTAAAAAGCGTTAACAAAATCATTATAACGATACTAACATCCGAAATTTATAATATCGTAGTCAAGGTAAAAGTTATATTTTATATAAATAAAATATTTTATCTATTTTTACTCGAATTTTTTTAAAAAAAATTTTTTTTTATATTTAATATGGTTTTGATAGACCAAAAAAAAATAACAATTTTCCCCCAAAAAAGTATTATATTATCATTAGATATTAAATATTAAATATTAGATATTATTTTAAAAAAATTGTATATAATTGTATTATCTAAAGAGTTTTTTTTTTTTAAATAACCACTATATAATAAGAACTTTTGCCTAAAAATCAATGAATTTTTTTTGAAAAATAATTCATTTTAAAAACATTTTTTTTTAAAAAAATCTTATCCATACGGAAAAATACTACCACTCCAATTTTAGATAATAACAGTAATACCGATTATAGCTGCCGAGATCAAGATCAACAGCGAAACTATACTTTCGAGGCCTACCTTTACCAACATTCCTCTCTCTACCACCAACAAACAAATAACGCCAAAATTAACCGACCCGTTAGCCATGGACGCGGCGAACAATTCTCACCCCGCTTTCGATACGATTTCAATAACAATATAATGACAGAGCCTACAAATGTTGATAATTCCAGGGGCAGGTATAACCCTTTCGAAATACGCGCCGATATGAACATTGTTAAACCCACTCTCGAAAAGGTTAAGATACGTCCTACAAATTTAAGCCTTGAGAACTCGACCCTGCAATTATCATCTCCGATTACTTTGACATCCCCTTCCTTTAGGATTCAAACCGGTTCAATGCCATCTGGGATAGACGAAATAGCCCAATGTGGTATAAATAATAATGCTACTAACAGAACATTCGAGCAATTAGGAAAACATAGGCGGAGGGCTTTTGGTCAAAACAATGGAACACGAAACATGTCACTTCTGGATAGTATAAACGACGTAAAACGCAAGTCCCATGCTTTGTTATAAACTTATAGTCATCTTTTATAACTTAAACCAGTGTTAAAATATTCCTTTTTCATTTACCACCGAAAAATGTTAATAGGCTATTCTAGGGGTTATTTGTTACCAACAAATAGAATGAGGAAGAAAGGCTTAAAATAAGTCAAATTTTTAGTCAATAAAGTAGAAAGAGACACTAAATCTTATAATAGAGTTGTAAGAGAGTAATTCTTTTTATATGGAATTCTTCACAAATAAGTTGTTGATATCATGTTGCGTTGATATCATATTGCATTGGCATTAATATCATGTTGAATTGATATCATGTTGCATTGATATCATGTCGCATAACCATGTTTTCTCATTAAAACTATATTGTTTCCCAATTTTGGGATTTTAGAGGGGTTTATTTAAATGAGTTTTTGATGGAGTATGTAAAATCATTTCAAATTAATTGAAACCTTTTTTCTAATAAAACGAATGTCTAATCTCAAAGATCCATAGCAGTTGTGTAAAGTAGAAGATGGGCTGACCTCCCCCCCCCCTCTCCGTGGTAGATATGATTAAATAAAATGGATGTGTTTTCATTCTCCAATTATCTATTTTAAATTATCTCAGAAGTTTTTTTTATTTTAAACGGTGCAGGAAAAAATCCTAAAAATCTAATAAACAATACCATAGGCACATATAAATTCTAAAAATCAAATTTAACAATGTCCCAACCAAGCTATTCAGAATTCTAAACCGGGCTAAAAATGGCTGTCGGCTGTTCCAAACAGAAATCTCTGTCCTTCTCACTAATCAAACGGATTGAATCACTAAAATTTACCAAATACTTATAAATTATTGATATCTGACTTAACGCTCAAGGCATAATATCCTACTTTTTATCTGACGTATAATTCGGACTTATTTTTTGTGATTGGCAAAAATGTATGAAGGTTTATTTAAATATTAACGCAAACCAGATGTTCAGGTCTTCTATATTCTCCGATCACTCATAGTAAGTTCCCCCCCTATCATTTTAACCCATCTTCCACATAGATTTAAAGTAATAAAATTTACTAATTAGGCACTGCTTACTGGTTTGATACAATATTCAGAATTAGTGCCCTCCAAAATGTGGTCCACTTCACGTTTAAAGCGTGACGTCATATTTTTTATTTTGGCGACAAGCACTAAATCGTAACTTAAACCAGATGTTTAGTTCTTTCTTTAATATTTTCTATTTTGGCATGTTGCCAATTTTATTGGCTTTTTTAAAAATATTTAGCTCTTCTTCTTTACACTGTCTAACCGATGAAATTAATCATAACAAGTGGGTTTACATCCCCACCCCACCCCAAGATAAATCCTGGCTACGCCACTAATTCAGAGTAAATAATAAAATCTCTATCATTTATGGGATTTATGAATAGAAGAAAAGAAGAAATTTAATTACTTTTTTATAATAATTATAATACACAAAGGAAAATGTGCATTTCTCTATTTTGTGATTGGACGAATCGATGATTTTTCATTATGGGAAGGTTTTAATTTAACCATCCCTTCACGTTTTTGCCAAAATTATCATTTTATTGACTGGTCTTTTCTGCAGGCTTTTAAAGATAGTTGGTTTAAATAAACGGATTGTATTGAATTTGAAACATATGCGGTTTCGTAATTAAATTGCACTGCTGTAAAGTAACGTCGATGAAAGTAACGTCGTTACTAATAGTGTATCTTTTTTTGATGCATTCATAACCATGTTTCAAAAGGTAAGTAACGAGTTAATTTTTTTTGAGTAATGGTAATGCAAACGTTACTCTTTCGTTACTTTAAATTTTTCCTCAAAAAAGTGGGAAAAACATATTTTATTATATAATTCATTTTTTTTTTAATTTTAATATTTACGCAGAGTTTTCAATTCAGATCAACTAACATAGTACTTCATTTTTAGTTTATTTCTTATATTTTTGTTGTTTATTGTTGAATTTTATACATTCAAGTATGTTATTATAATATATTGTAGATAGAATATAAATGTTAATAGCACTTATTTCTTCTGGTGAAGATAGTTTAACTCTGCCATGCCCTCCCCTCCTCCCAACATGTAATATTTTACACTAATAAAGATAATTAAGGCACTAAGTCTGCACTAATGTTGTTTAACAGCTCGATTTAAGCCGATTTTTTAAAACTCAATGCCAAAAAATATTGTCTAAGCCTCGAGATTTCGTTAATAGATGTTGCCACCTTAGGAGCAAAATCTTAAGGATGAAATAATATTTTTCTTATTAAAATATTGAGTTAGCCGTTTAACAACACTAGTCTACACTTATTCTAAGTGTAATTTTAACCGTTTGTCCAGCACAAATCTATATAGATATATGAAGGTAAAAATTAGAATTTAGATAAAATTCTGATAGATTTTAAAAAAAAATTTGACCAGGATCTGAATGAAGATTTCTGTATTTTTTTTGGTAATAAAGATCATTCTTTAACAAATTTTAATAAATTCCCCCAATTAAAATTTTTTTTATTCCTCTGCACCAATTGAACGTGTGAGCCGTGCTGAGTACTATGCCCTCTCGTTTAATCTGATCAAAATTTTGAAAATCTTCTGAGAATTAAGGCAAAATTATTACAAAAATATTTTATTTGTATATAATTTTATTATTATTATCTATGGGGGGAAAATTTTTTATATATATATAGTATTTTTTAGTGTTACTCGTTACTTTTCTTTGAATAGAAAGTAACGAGTTCCTTTTTTTTAAAAAAAAAGTAGCGAGTAACGCTTTGCTTTTTTTGCAGTAAAGTTTACAGCATTATTAAATAATCCACTATATAAACTAAATTCTTAAAAATCGTCATCCATTGTATTTTCCATTGGGTAAATTTTATAAAGTTTTTTATTAAATTTTATATAATTAAAATATTAGTTAATTGCTCATAATGGTTTTTATAAAAATTTTAATTAGTTCAAAGGTGCTTCAGTCCAGTAATTTTTTAAAAAATGTCCTAAAATAATATATTGAAAACCATGTCACAAATAAAAGGTAGCAACACTGATTTATGTTTAATAGGTCTAGGACATATCAAAAACTCTTTCACTTATTCATAACGAAGAACGTTATATTCTTCGAGTTCAAGTCAGAGTTTTTTTTTCTAGATTAGTGGAGGCCCTAGAATTTTATGAGTCTGGACTTCTAAGTCTTGTAGACACATTTATTTTATAAGCATTTTCACTAGATTATAAATAGATCGTAACAACAGAACTCAGATCCTTCGGAACCAAAAATATAAAAATTTCTGGGAACCGGACCTGGGTAGAATTGTTAACCCGATTAGGACCAATTTTTAAGGCTACCATCAGTTTTTTAAAAATTGACCCAAATCGGGCTTTTTAACAACACTAGGTCTGACAAAGTGCGGCTAATTTACATATAATTATGCAAAATGTTTTGAACACCGGAACTAGAACTCTTTTTAATCTAGGTTCCATAATTTTAGGCCAAACCTTCTCCGGTTATAGCTTACCTTTTCCTACAAAATATTTTTTGGGAAAAATTTAATATTGCGGAATAATGTGGAAAGTAAGGCTTTGTTTATAGTAAACCTGCTAAGATTGTTTAACAATTCTTTAATCATCGCCAAAATGACAACTAAGCATGGATGGGATGAGATGTCGCGCTATTATGGTGCTTCCTATAAATGAGGCCTAGTTATAAGTAATACTTAGGGCTCAAATAATCGAACTGCTCTCCACCTACTGGTTAAATTTTTATAAAATTCTTACATTAATTACCATATATATATATACTTTAAAAACTCGCTTAAAAAATGATATTTAAAAAAAAATTTTAATTTAGGAATTGCTGAAGAATAAAAAATTGGAAACGTCAAAGGTAGGATCCACCAAATTCCTTCAATTATCATCCCACGGTGTAGGAGAAAAATTTGCCCAAGTATATATATAAATTTATTATTTTCCGTGATATTTAAAAATTATAGAGTTAAACAGTTATCAAAATAAGTGATTTTTTAGACTTGAATATAAAATAAATAGGAATGAGTTTAAAAACTTAAAAGGGTGCCCATATCGTTTTCTGAGTATAATTCAGGATTAAGAACAAAAATTAAGACGAGGTAGGTAGGCAGAAACTTGGTTAAGAATTTATTTTTTTAAAAATAGGAATTAGTTCTATTATAGAATTTCCAATGTTTAGAATTATGTTTTTATTAGATTCTTGAAACTAGTTTCGAATCGGACCTTGATTTTCAAAATTTTCATTTGAATCGTGTTGAACCTCGAACCTCACTCATTTTAAAGATCATTTTTATTTTTAAATATTTCCTCGAGCGTCTAAAAAAACAAAATTACAGCTTTCCTTGAATAATCGTACTTTTTCTCCAATCCAGTATTTTTCTATACTTAAATTGAATTCGGATTTATTATAGTGCACACAAATTGAGTGTACGTTTTTCCGTAATTTTTTAGTAACGCGTCCCTTGTTTAAATTGAGGTTGCCTTTTTATTAAATATCGTCCGATTCAAAATTTTAAATAAGTTCTAAAAATAAAGGATTTTGTTTTTGGAAATTATATTATCGTCTGCCTTCTTATTTCTTTAATTGCTAAATATTCCTTTTTAGGATATAAGTAAGTTATATTTATATTAAATTTTATTATAATATTAACAAAACGATGATAAAAAAAATATTGTTTTGGTTGCTAATGCCAAGCGGTAATTTTACTAATTTGCACAAGGCCATTTGAAATGCATTATTTACTCACGCAGCGTGAAAATTAGTCGAATCGGGGAGACAAATAATAATTTCTCGTAACGGGACAAATTTCAAAATGTATCATAAAATCTTTAGGCAGATTTTTTAAAGATTGCGTATATATAATTAAGTGCGCGTTAAATAAAGAGAATAGTAATTTTTTTTTGTAGATAATGTTAGTATTCAATGCTTAATTTTATTGAATATAAATCTTCTAAATAGCGTTAAAAATAACTTGTATACGAGATTTATGGCTCATGTGCATGTTCATAATGCATACTTTATTCCTTCCTTAGAGTATACCCTAGTATTGTTAAAACTTTGCTTTTCACTAATTAACTAGTTATTTTAAGAAATATATTAATCAAAAAAAAAACTTAATTGCAGGACATAGTTCGAATTCACAGGTTTCAATTATTAAAATTTTGTAAAATTATATCATAGTTCGATTAGGGGTTTAAATAGAACCAGGATTATATTTAGTTTTAATAATAAATATGCTTATATATTCAATATCCAATTAGAGACTCTCAAAGCTTGGACCAATTCCCCTCCTGCCCGGGGTCGGAATTGGTTTTTATAATTTTCTTCAGGCCATGATAAACATCTTTATTACTGGCCTAAATATTTTTAGACCCGATGCAGATCTTTATATCCAACATAATAATTTCAATAAAATTATCTTATTCCTACCACATTCCCTTCTCATCTTGTAGCTTCTGAAATGTTTTTCTTTCGCATTCCTTGTCTTGTCTCTTTGTCTCCAATTACCTTTGTAATTTTTCCAAGTATATTTTCCATTTCATAATTATTTTTATTATTCAATTCCCGCGTGGCATAAGCGCAATTTTTTTTTCTCTACATAATTTACATAATCAAGCCAATAATAGGTTCAATTTATAAATACTGAGCACAATGAAATCTGCAACAGCTGTTTTCGTATATTTCAAAAAAAAAAGTATTATCGCCTGTGACTAATCAGCTGTGATTTCGTTAGAGATTAATTTCGCTTTGCTTGAGCGAATCGCGCTTATATTATAAATGCAGCATTAAAAACTATCCTGTAATCGCCTTCATAACTATCATGTAAGGTAAGATTTAATGCATAATTAGGTTGTGCAGTAATTTTTTTATTTGAGTAAATATAATTATTATTATGATATATTAATTCTTTATTAAAAACTTTTATTGTGCCCGTTGCTGGTAAGATAATATGCATTAATAGCAAAAAAAGCGATGATTTAATGAGCAATTTTTCTAAATTTAAAAACATATTTTAAAAAATATAACATTACACGCCATCTAACGGATATATTTCTATATAAATTTTAATTTTATAAAATAATGTTCATCAAAAGTTAAGAAGATTCGTGTTAATATTTTAAACAAGGTAAAGCCGCATAAAATATTATAATATATGTGTGTATATATATATATAATTATTATTGAAAAATTTTGAAACACTTCGTTTAAATGATTTTGAGATCGGGTCTTAATAATAATAATTTATTATCAAAATTTATTGTTTAACAAAATAACTAAAATGATTTTTATCATTGTGATGCTTCTAAAATATTTCATCCATTTCGGATAATATAATAAATTGGCTTATTTTTTTCGATAACATTATAATATTATTTTTTAAATAAAAAAGTCCTTTAATTTTAGTTTGGCATCTATTCCAGGAATGATTGTATAGTTATTAGTCATTAGAATTTTTTAATAAATTTGATATTGGGTTTGATTTTCTGGCAAAACTAATTGGGGCATTATTAAAAATGATAATATTTTGAATTTATTAATATATAAAAAAGAAATTTGAAATTAAGTATAAAAAAAATATTCTAAATCTTCACTTCCCCCACCCCTTTTTATAATTTTTTTATCTTTTCCTTTTTTTGATGATAAAAAAAATTTTTCTTGGAAATATATTTTTAGAAAATATTCCAAAATTAAAAGAATATGTTTGTTAGTATTTTTATCATTAATCATTTCCTTAAAAAATAACAGACATCCTCCCATATATAATTTTTATATTAAATAGAAATGACATTTAATAATATTTATAAAAATTTAAAAAATATTTTAAAATAGAGAAGGAGAAAAAAGAGGAAGATAAGAAAAAAGGAAGCATTAAAAAAGAAGCGCGCTATCGCATGGCCAGTTGAAACATATCATGTTTAGACTGGGGCAGAAAATCAACTTTCATATAAACTCATCTAGCTCAAAAACTATCATAGATGCTCTAATTTTATTTTAGAGATTAAGGATTGAGCTACACATTGACATTAAATTTATTTGATATATTACCGTTATGTTTTTTCATGTTGAAGCTACTAGTCTTGTTTGATGATAAAACCTTCTATCACATCTTACGGCAAAAATTTATACCCTGTGTTAATTTTTTTATCGAGAATTAATAAATTTAATACATTGGAAAAATAATCTAAAAGATGTTTGAAATGATGCAAAGCATTCATAGCATTTTTTTGGGACTATATCAACCATAGTTAATCTTTTATACCATAGTTGGCATTCAGCTAATAAGGCATCATAAGATAATTAAACATCTTCATGATAAAAATCTGCTAAATATTTTTTTTTTCTATCACCATCTGAAAAAGGTTGGGAAGGTTTTTGTGGAAATTATATCTGCAGATTGGTAAGTGCTGCCTGATGAATTAAAAACCGTTCATTTATTTGGGTTATAAATGTATCTAAGAGAGGGATAAAGACATTTATTTTATAATACTTTTCTACTTACCCTATATTAATGTTTGGACGATGAGTTTGTCTTGCTGCAAGTCGAGGGAGACAAATATTAAACTCGTATAGCTCTGCCTTTGATTCAACAATATATAAAATATGAAATTCTTCATCAACAATAGCCCTAATTTCCTTGAGTTCTAAAAAAATGCTCTCCGCTACTCTCATCGTCTCAATCAAGTCAATGTCATGTTTTTTAAAAGTATTACATAAAATATTTGTATAATTTGGTATAAGGATTTAATCCAATAATTTGCTTGCTTCTGAGGAAATATCTCTTTCAGGCTATTGTGATATTTCAGTAAGAGCATTAATAATCGGTTCTTCTTACTCCATGAAAGCTGTTACTGCTTGATGGCGAGGACTCCATCTCTTTGGACAAGCTTTTTGCGATTTCTTTCTCATTGTTGGACAAAGAGTTTCAGAAATAATTCTGTTTAAAATATTATGTGGGGTTTTCCATTAATGCAGAATCCCCTAATGCTTTAAATTTTATAAGACCATGAAAATTATCTTCATTATCTTATTATTGAAATTCAAACTTCTTGAATCCAAATGGCTACGTAATGCTATGATCTGCAATCCACAATATAGAATGGCCTCTACTTAGTTTTATCTTACATCTATTTTCTTTTGCTATTTTATTTCTATTTTTGTCAATATGTGATAAAATGGGAATCATAACCCCACTTTGAATTAATTTGAAGAAATCATCAGTTCACAGCTTTTGTGATAATTTGTTTTTTGATGATTGTCAAAGATTTCTCCAGCATCTTTGTACTTGTTGACCCGCTTTAAGTGATTATTATTATTACAATAAAAAAAATATTTTAATTACCTTTTATTTGATACCCATATCAAAAAAACTTATTTTTTTACCCCCTCCCCCCACCCCCTCTTTATTCTACCCCCCCCCCCCCAGGCAAAGTCATACCCATCACGGCCAAGACTTTCAGTCATAATAAATTTAAATTAGCTTTTATTTGACACCCATATCGATTTTTATGTTTATAAAAATATTCCTGACCCCCCAAGACCTAGACCCACCCGCTTTTAGTGATTATTATTATTACAGTAAAAAAATATTCTAATTACCTTTCTTATTTTTTTACCCCCCCCTCTTCATCCACCCCCCAGGCCAAGTCATACCCATCGAGACCAAGAATGAATGCTTAGAGTCAAAAGATATTTAAATTAGCTTTTATTTGATACCCATATAAAAAAAACTTCTTTTTTACCATCCCCTTCATCCACCCCCCAGACCAAGTCATACCCATCAAGACCAAGAATGACTGCTTTCAGTCGTAAGAAATTTAAATTAGCTTTTATTTGACACCCATATCGATTTTTATGTTTATAAAAATATTTCTGACCCCCCAAGACTTAGACCCACCCGCTTAAAGTGATTATTATTA